GGTTACACTGACATAAGCAGTTTTTTTTTAAACCTGACAACTCCTTCAGACATAAATCTATTGCTGAATTGTAAAAATGTATGGCTGGTATTTGGTTGGTTCTCTTTCGCACTGCTATTGCTTGATTATTTTTCAAAAGTTTCCCTGAAAGAACAAGGCTGGTTGTTCTTCAGACCTATGGTTAACATAACTTTTGGAGCAGGTTATTTTGTACACATTACTCTTTTAAGTCATTTTACTAGTTTAATCAGAACATGCAAACGGATATTATGTTTGCAAAGGATACTGAAAATGGAATAGTCTAATATTCTTCTACAGTATAAAGGAATTATTGGAGGACTGGTTTGAGGCTGGTGTATTAATGTTGAGGCTGGTGTAAGATTCAGATATTGCATAACCACAGTGATTTTTTTAATCTTTGTGTAACAGCTGATGGGCACAGCTGCCAGAGTAAGTAGATGGTGTAAGTGGGTTTCCTCTACGGTGCCTTAGGCCACTGATGCTCCTCTGTATATGCACTTTACCCTCCATATAAAAATGATTACAGAACGGCAATACACAGTCATTCTCTATGCACTTTAGTACAAATAAGAGGAAAGACTGAAGGAATATTCCAGGTTCAATATAAAAGTTAAGTTCAATCAGCAGATTTTGTAGCATATTGCGTACCACAAAATCTCATATGTACCTTATTTAAGAGCATAAATGTGCAGTTTAGAATTTAAAAAAAGCACTTACAGTATATTCATTATTCTGTTTTAAAAACGGTGTAGCTGATTATACTATTTTATGTTTAGTTTATGGCATACAAGACATTATCATAGCAGCAAAGTTGTAAAATACTATATCTTCATACAAAAATGTTAATAAGCATTTTATTCAAACATAAATCATTTTATTTAGCATATTGTTTCAGTCCAGTTCAGTTCAACTTTATTGTCAAACCTAAGGTCCAATAGCAGACACACACAGACTATATAGAAACAAACAAACAATAAACAAATAAATATTGACATTTAAGCATTGGCCCGATTCACTTCCATTAAGCATCTCACTGTAACCCATATTTAAATTTTTTAGGGACTGATTGAAATGAATTTTTGAGATAATAAACAACATGTCATAATTGTTGTCGATTTAAGCTTAACTTGTATTAAACCTGGAATATAAGACTATTTTTCCAAAACTGTGACATTGCTAAGTGATTTGACTAGTAATATTTTACTTGGCCCTTTGATAAATTTGACTATAAATTCCAAATTAATATGTATATATGATTCTACTCTATAGTTGTCTTGGCTGTATGAAATGTTCTAATGAGACAAATTAATAATGTTAATGATGTAGTAATGGAAGTCATTATGAAGTAATACCATTGCATTCAAAGTTCTGTCATGAATCTCTAGATGGCGCAGGCTGATAGGTTCTAACTCAGTCTGACATAATGACACATGGCACAACTGACTGGTTTCTTTTGGTATCCGCAGCCAATGAGCTTGGTGCTCAACATTCAAATATCTGGCTAGTGTTTGCTGTAGCAGTTGCGTCGCACTACAGAAACCCTCCACCTTCCCCAGCTCCACCTGTATAGACCTGCTATAGGATGATTTCATGTATGTTATATGTGGGGGTTAATTCATATATGTTATATGTGCAGCAGCATCAGTATTCTTACATGCGGTACTTGCTCTGCCAAAGCAGCAGTGTAGCAGATTTATTCAGCTAAAACCAAACACATTAACATTGTCATGTATATTACCATGCTAAACTCTCTGAGAGTTGTCATGAAAAATACAGTTTATGGAAGTGATATAAACAGCTGCTGTCCAAACACAGCTGATGAAAGTGGTGTGAATAATTACAGACAATTCCTCTCAAAAAAATAAATAAAAAAAAATAGGCCAGAAGGAAAGGAACAGGAAAGAAAAAAGAAGAATGTGATGGAGAAATAGATAGTGTCATTCAGAGGTCAAGATCTTATTAAGAAGACATTTGTGGTGCTTGCAGGTTGTTAAAAAAGATACAAGAAGAGAAACATGGACTGGAAAACATGGCTGGAAAGATCACATTGCTTTTTGTGAGACAAACATACACAATAAGAAAAGTACATTAAAGACCCCATGTACAGTGTTGATATGAAGGACATGTTAGTAAATGTAACGGAAATGTGTACTGGTAATTTTCTGCAAGGGCATTATCTTTTTCTCTATTGATGTTTTCTTACAGTAAAACAACAAAAAAAGTTTACTAACTGACAGAACTGGGTAGATTACCTACAAATTTAAGTCTGTTACTGATTACAGATTACATAAAGAAAACTGTACATTGTCTTGGTTACTCATTTTAGGTGAATGTAATCTTAGTAATTTTTAGATTACTTTCAGAATACTTTTTAATTAAACTTATTTTAAACTAACATTAAACGTACCGTATTCTATTTTTTCAAAGAGAAAGAAAATATATTACATTTTTGTCAATTCCATCAACATCATAAAATGCATTAAACACTATTTTACACCAGGGTTTCCCAAAAAATGCTTAATGTAAGTACTGCAATGGGTTTGTGAGTTGATAAAAAGATAATTAAAATAAATAAATAAAATAATAATAATAATAATACATTTAAAAAATAAATAAATACTTGAAGACTTCATGTCAGTTTGACCATTAACCAACTTCAAAAAAGTGTGTTATTTAATTATTTGAAATATTAACTTCCTCAGAGATATTTCAAGTAAATATTTTATTTTAAGGGGTTTAGCGGACAGAAACATTTGGTAATCCCTGCATTCATTGAACAAACATTAATAAACATGAAAACAACAATGACATTACATGCCCAAAGGCTTCCAGGTTTTAAATATTTCTGTCCATACTTCCAGAATCAATAATTATTGAAGGTCTCTGGATGATAACATAGTGTTTCACAGCTGTACATCACCAGTGTTTAGTAACTTGCATAATTATTTGTTTCATACATGGTCTATTTGCTTGAGAGGTGCTTTTTCCCTCAAATTCAGAAGCATGGTTTGCACATTTATTTACACAACATTTATGAATATATTCAAAGCTAAATAGTATGACACACAGTAGGATTTTTAGAATCTGATTATGCAACCCAGAATACATGTAGGCCTAATCAATTACTACTCAGCACTGCTGACTGACATTAACAATTGCAAGAAAAGAGAGTTTTCTTAAAATGCTTTTTCATTATGGTAATTTCTGCTGTATTTCAGTGATTAAAAGAAGACTGAAATGTAACAAAACAATTATAACACACAAATATTACTCTGTTGTCCTCTCTTTTACATGGTCCATGACCTTGATCAGTTAAGCTCACAGGTGCAGATGTTTATACCCAGTGCAGGAATATTTTACGATGTCTACTTCCCCCTGGTGGGTATATATGGTATTATATTTTCAGTTGTATTCAGCAATTGGTCCAGACATGACTAGGAGGCACCCAGCCAGATACAAGCACAAACCAGAAAACTGTGCAACAGATAAAATCAGCTTTCAGAATCTGCAAAATGTGCCCTGCCCTAAGCTATTTTACATAATAGGAGTTTACATGATAATAGGATTACATGATTCCATATTATTATTTTTTACACAGTAGCAATAATTTTTCAATAATCCGCTACTGATGAGCACATTAACTTTGAATTATCACTCAGTAGGTTATTTTACCATGTATTACTTTGGAAGGTATTTCTCTTTCAAACACATTAAAATGCACAAAAAAAAAATACAAATACACCAACTTTTTTTTTTCATCTGATCCTCTTTCACCTAATATTTTTTTATTCGAAGTTCCCCTGAAATGTTAAAATAAATATTTTAATAATTAAGTATCACATTGTCATATTCATGGTTCTCTAATTTTTTCAGTGTGTTTTATTTTGATTGATTTAAAAAAAAATTCATTTAACATTTTTATGATTTCATTAATTATTAGCTTTTCATTAAACTCATAAACCCCCTGCAGTTCCTTCACAAACCCAGCTTGGGAAACCTTGATGTAATATAATGTTCAATGCACTTCATGTTGTTGATAACGACAAATGGAATATATTTTCTTACTCTTTGTATTTGTTTTTTTATATATATCAATATGGTACAAGATTATCCTATTTAAATCAATGTGAAACACAAGATCGGTCAAAAGTAATCTAAAAGTAGTCTGATTATATTACCTAAAATGTGTAATGTAATGAACTATGTTACTAACTACAATTTTTGTCATGTAATTTGGAATCAGTAACGGATTATAATTTGTAAGTAACTCTTTGTGTTGTTACCTGGATGATCTGTTTGTCTGCAGTTCTGCCCACTGTTCTTAAGAAATATCTTCCAGGTCCTGCACTTTCTTTGGTTTTCCAGCATCTTCTACATTTTTTACCTCTATCCAACAGATATAATTTTGGGATCCATTTTTTACACTTAGGGCAAATTATGGACTTATACACAACTATAACAAAAGATGCAAACATTCATTGATGCTCAAAAAACAGCAGTCTAAGATGACGTAAACTTTTGAACAGGATCGTCAGTGTAAATTTTTCATATTTTGTTTAAATATCTTTTTATTTTTAGAATGAGTAGAATACTGTCCTTAAGAAGTTTTAAGACAAAATAATAAGAATTCACATTGATCACTGAAGTTGTTTATTATGATTTACCACGAAACAGGACAGGCATGAATAATCGAATTTTCAGAACACCAGAACCATATTAGATAACTTATCTGTTAAGCGCCTTTTGTTCTCTGTTTTCATATGAAGTGTCTGTAACTCACAGAGATGGAGATAAGCTGTGTGTGATTCAAAAGATTCTACATCTGTCTTAAACTGGTGCTGTTCCGTTTTTAAGATATAAATAAACTGGTAAAGCTTAGGGCATTCAATGTAAAAAGCGTTTGCCATAGTATGCTACAGCAAGCAACGTCACTACGCCAAGCTATCGTCATAGTAGGGTACGTTCTCATCCGGTAGTTGCTTTGGTAACTTGCGTAAACAAATGGCGTCCAAGATGATCTGAGCAACGCTTGCTACAGCTCGTTTGTTTTGAAGCTACGGTAGGTATTAATCGTCTGAACGTTTGATGGGCAATTGATATATCTAAAACGAACATGTTTGTTTGTATAATACATTATTGTATTAAAACAGTCTGTTCGATGAGATGGATGACGAGCCTTTTTCTACAACGCTTGCATACACGAAAAGTCCTAAAGCATCCAGAAGAACAACTTTTCAGGTATTCAGGTCAAATCATTAGTGTGCTCCAATGTTAAAAATGTCTTTAGATTGTTGTCAGACACATCAGTTTCTGTCTCAAGGTGTAGTGATCTGCCTATCTATTCTACTAGACAGCTGTGGCGCGTTTCAAATTGAATGTTTGTAACCACAAAATAAAATACTCTCTATGACACGTGCCTGTTGCTGAATTTCAGGATGAGCTAAAGCAAGCTGTGTCTGCTAGAGGCAACAGGCATAGTTACTCTGGTGACTTTGACGATGGTGATGATGACGGTAGGTTTTAAAATATTAGGTTTTCTAAAATATGTTCACTGTATTTGTATACTACTGGTTTACTCAGAGCTACAGACCTTACCTTGAGTCAGTTTGTTTATTTTCTTAGCAATGTTTGTAATTCAGTTTTTCTTATTGTTCTTTACCTTTATATTTGAATTCAGCAGACATACTTAAACTCCTTAAGATACAAAAACAGAAGAAAGAGAGATTTAAAGCTGCAAAGACAAAAGGCAAAATCAACAATTTCAAGCTTTCAGATGATGAAGAGGAAAATGTCAAACCCAAAAAAGTATCTTTTATGAAAACAAAAAGGACCAGCTTGCCTGTGCACTTTGATCAGCTGAACACCACAGGAAGTGCAGATGACCAACCTAGTTCTTTCCATTCCACCCAGTCCAGGAATACTTCTCAAAGTCCAAGCAATTCTTACACTCCAGAGAAAAACCAACAGTCAGATTCCCCCTTTTCCTCTCTATCTGACAAGTTTCAACCAGAATCCACTTCACTCCAGAAGGATGAACAGTCAAAATCAGTAACGAAGTTGAGGAAGAGCCTGTCAGAATCTCCACTGCCACTAAACTCTGAGAATAGCCAATGGGAATCTTCCGTCCCTCTTACATCAGATGGCTCACAGTGGGACAGTCCATTGCCATTGCCTTCAGAAAAAAATGAGGATAACCAAATGATTGGTGAAGATGGTGAACTACCCATTCCTCAACCCAGGGAGAGAAGTGTTAAACCAAAACTCTCCACAGGTCAGTGCAGTCTTTGCATGTGTGCAATTGTTTAAGATCTGTGATCTTTGCAACACCTGGGGTTGATTTTTATTCTGTCTATAAAATCAGCTTAAGAAGTGTCAGAAACTAAAATACACTTTCTTTAATGTAAACAGGTTGTCTTGCTCAAGACATGTCACCCAGACCCAAACCCAGGCAGAGGACAGCAAATATGGGTGACATTGGTCAGTTAGAAGAGGAAACACAAGCAGAGACCACTGCTTGCAGCAGAACAGCCACATTTTCTATGTCTATAGACCTCTCCAACACATTCTCTGCTGAGAAGAGTCAAATCTCTACCAATGATAGTGTTCTGGTGAGAATGCCTTAATAATAGAAAGACAAAAAGTGTCAGCAGAATACCAATTTAAACACCGTAAATGCTAAAACCCAAGCTTAGAGTTGTTACTTTTTTTTAATTACAAGTATGAATTTAGTGGAGGCATATGTACAGTATTAAAAACAAAGATTTTTTATTGGCAGCATTTGGCACCAATTCTTTCATGAAGAACATTTAACATCCATGGAAACTTTACACAAAACTTTGCACAAAAAGTGTTTTGTAGTGTAAAAGGGTTCTTCGGGTTATTAAAATGTCCTTCACACTAAGAAAAATGATTCTTTTAAAGGGGTCATATGATGCGATTTCAAGTTTTCCTTTCTCTTTGGAGTGTTACAAGCTGTTTGTGCATAGATAAGATCCCTAAAGTTGCAAAGACTGAAGTCTCAAACCCAAAGAGATATTCTTTTAAAAAGTTAAGAGTTGTCCACGTCCTCCTAAAACGCCTCGTTTAAACACGCCCCCACATGTCTACGTCACTGTGTGGGAAGATTTGCATAACACCGCCCAAATGTTCACGCAAAGAAAGAAAGCGTAACTTTTATTCTCGCTGTAGTATTGTTGCTGCCGCCATGTCGTGGAGACGCTGTGTGTTTCGTTGTGAAAGCGAAACTACTTTGTTTGGCCTTCCAAAAGAGGACACAACTAGAAATCAGTGGTTAAGTTGTATTTACAGCACTGTTCCAGAACAGTTCAAACCAAATATTCGAGTGTGTGCAGCGCATTTAATGGAGGACTGTTTCCTGGGAGAGTAGCCTACAATGCGTCTGTACACAAAGGCTGTTTCTATAAAGTGGGGCAATTCCAACTTTGCAAGGACAGTCTGGCGCTTCTGACTCACAGCCTGTAAGTATGTTTTCATATTTACAGAATTTGCCACTGACGTTTCAAACGCGAATTTTGAACAATGTAGAGCAGCGCTTGTTGTTTGTCCTTTCTCAGATCACAAATGCAGACATGGTTTTATGTTTACGTGGCAGACAGTATAAGTCATTATAATCAGTAATTATGTCCACACTGGATGCAACAAATGCCTCGTTTATAATACAAAGCTTTGTAAAAATTGACATGTTTCAGAAAGGCAGGGCATAGAGGAGAAACAATGTACATTATGTGGAAAAT